TATTTGTTTTGTTGTTGTTCTTGTTGTTGTTTCCAGGGAGCACTGGAAATGTTACACAGGGGAAGCAAAGTAAACATAGGGAACCTAGGAACCAGCTTTATTTTCTTCATCTGATACCCCCTTCACTATGTGTAAACGGCCTGATGTCTCTGTATGTGGTGCTACAAATACCTGCATTACCTCCTTCGACCTAACCCCTGCTCGCATCTCAATTTTGTTTTCTTCTTTTATTGTGGGATTTGTTTTTTTTTACTGTGGCAAGGGTTTCTCTGGGCCTTAGTTTCCCCATTGCTAAAAAAAAAAATGACATATCAGCAGCTTCTCAAGTTTATTATGAAGACATAATGGGAGATTGCATGCAAAGCATACAAAGCATAATTTGTATGGTTTACATCCTAAGTAAATATGGTACTACAACTTCTGCCCCATTTCTTTCTAGAGGACCAGCAGAATGGCAAAAGTACTGGAAGTTACTAGACAAAATGCATAAATAAAAGGTGGGCATGGATTTTCAGCTGTACTGCTCTCAAGAATTTTCAACCTCTTTGTAAAATAGGTAACATCATGATAAGTGAAGGATAAAGTCACATTTCCTCTACTGCACCTCCACTAGCTCCCCTCTAGGCCTGTGTATTACATATGTAGTTAATAAAAGCCGTAGTTGCTCAAACTAGAAATCTAAGAGGTGTTGATTTCTCAGTCTTCATCACTCAGATCCTTGGTCAACAAGTCCTGCCCTTTTTTCCCCAGAAATGTCTGTGCAATTCAGCCCCCCTTCCAAAACCCACAGTTTCGCCTCAGCTCACCATTTCAGCACTTTTTATTTGCCAGCTTGGCCTTCCTCCTTCTAATCTTAACTCTTCCAATCTGACTGCTTTAAAACTGTCAAGGCTGTTGAAAATCTGCTTGGAGTTTTGTTGAATTAAATAATACTTTATCATCCCATTGTAAAGGTACCCTCAGTTCAATCAACCTTCAACAACTATTTTGCTGTACTGATCAATTACTATCTCTATTTCTGGAATGATATTTATTTTATAAAAGCATCATAATCCTTGAAAAAAAAATCTGTTCGGGTTGTTCCTTAGAGCAATGAATTCTTGTTGACTGCAGGAGAAATCAAAACAAAAAATAAACATTTACCTACATGCAAGCTCTTGCAAGATCTGGCCCTAACCTGCCTATGCAGCCACATGTTCTCTCATCCTTCTCCAAGTCCCACACACTACATGCCTGTCACAACTGACTGCTTTGAACTTGTTCTCACCCACCCTTCACCTCCAGTTTTGCATATGTTACTCCCAACCACACATTCTAAAGTAGACCTTCAGACATTCTATCACATCACTCTTTTATTTCTTTTATTTTATTTACAACATGTATCTCCAACTAATATTTTCTTGCTTATTTGTTTATGTAGGCTCCCCTTCTGCCATATGACCAATCCCATAAGAACAGTAGTCCTGGGGTGCCTGGGTGGCTCAGTTGGTTAAGCATCCAACTTGGGCTCAGGTCATAATCTCACAGTTTGTGGGTTCGAGCCCTGCGTCAAGCTCTGTGCAGACAGCTCAGAGCCTGGAGCCTCCTTTGGATTCTGTGTCTCCCTCTCTCTCTGCTCCTCCCTGACTCATGCTGTCTCTCTCAAAAATAAATAAACATTTAAAAAAAGAGAAAAAAATAAATCATGGTCCTATCTTGTTCAGTCATGCAATCTTGGTATCCACAAAATTGCCTGTTTGATGAATCAATGAATGAATCTTCCCTCTGACCACTGGTCTCTCTTTACTCCTACTGCTAGTCAACTAACATCCATTTTTAATTATTGTGGGAATAGACTATAGAAGGATGTGATAGAGATTACTGGTGCTCTTCAACATTCATCTCCTCTTCTTCCTGGTCCCATGGCTAGATTATATTTCTTAGCCAGTGTTTGCAGTTGCAAATGATCATGTGATGACATTTTGGCCAAGGAAATATGAACAGAAGTGATAGTGACCACATCCAGACCTGTCTTTTTCTATATAAACTCCCCATACAAAATCTTTGTTCTTATTCTTCATTCAGTGGGTGAACAGAGATGGGTCTAGGGATCCACATAAGGATGAAGCCACAAGATGGAAGAAGGCTGGGTACCTAAAAGACTTATTAGAACCTCTGATCCCATTTGTCACCTAAATTAGACCTTGATTTGACTCAGAAACTTTTATTTCATTAATTCATTGGGGTTTGAGGAGTAATTTGTGATACGAGTTAGCCTATCCTGATTAACGAAGTTTCATGAGAGTGGTGATCTTGCCACTCCCAACTAAATTATTAGCTTCTTATCCGAAAGAACGGATAATTGCATTGGTATCTTTTTTCTAAATTCTCTTGAAAATAAGCTTTACTCTCAAATGGCACCCAAAGTCTCCTGTTTTATGCCAGTTTTTCCTCAATCAAAGTAAAACAAAAATGAGATTTCTAGCATCTGTCTGATATAACGAAGGAAAGACCGGAGACACCCACTTTCAAAGACCAATTCTCCAACTTACTAACTTTGAGAACTTGGGAAAGTTATTTTCCCTCTGTAAGTCTCAATTTCTTCATCTGTAGATGGAGATAATAATTACTATGAAACTAAGGATTACATGCATAAATCATGTAACAGTGCATGGCAACTATGGTAGTCACAAAAAAATGGTGCTGATAACATTTGTTTTCATAATTACAAAGCAAAAATGTGTATTTCTCCATGGAAACTGGAAGAAAGCAGGACAGTCTTCTTTAATAGAATATTCAAGGGGATAGTTAGCACTCATAACATTTATTGCATGGAAAGGCAGTAGTACCATCTCTCTGAGATTTGGGCCATGGTCTAATGCTTGTGGGGACTGAGGCAGCATTTACTTCTGTAGAAGAAAGCTGACGGTTGCTTGAAAGCAGTGCAGGCACCCCAGGGCTTTACCAAGAGCTTAGGCCATTTGTAAGCAGCAGTGACTGACCCAGCCACTGAGACTATGACAGGCATAAAACCAGAGATTTGAGGATTGTAAGAACGGAGCAATAACAACAGGAATTCCCCAGTCATTCTTCAAAATTTTGTGGTGTTGCATCTATTATTTGTAAGTGGATATCTCTCAGAAAAATAACAGCAAATGCAGCCATTGGTGGTGAGATTTCAAACTGGAGTTTTCTCCAAAGAGATTTATTCAGAATAAGCCTTTGAATCATTTAAAAGCAAATCCTCATATATTTTTCCCCCAGGAAATCACCCCATTTCTACAGGGAAGGTTGGGTGATATACAACAGCCAATATTGACTTACTAAAGATGTTATCAAATCATCTGTCTTTTTTCATAATGTTATAAGAAGATAGAGACACATTATACTACTGAGTTTTCAAAGGAGGCAGAAAAAAATATAATACACAATTTTAACCTGGGATAGAAAATTTGAAGTTGACATGAAATTGGCTTACAGTGTACTATTTAGAATCCATGTTCTGGCCCACAGGAAATTATTAGGACCAGTTACTATCCTGGACTGTGATCTTCTAATTTTAAGACCTATCCAGAGAAATTGAGGACAGAACAATAATAGTAACAACACAAATAGTTCCATCATTTCCTGCCTATGGTGGAGAAATTCTCAGTTTATAAAGCACTTAGCAAAAGAGGAACATTACCAAACATCATAAGAATTCCACAGAGCCAATGTCACATCCAACAAGAACTGAGCGTGTGGAGTCCAAAGAATTAAGACAGGGTACTAAACAGCGACAGTCTCTCTCGTTTGTTTTCTATAGAGCAGGTGTCTTCCTGATCGGAGAGCAATTATTGCAAGAGAGTAATCCAGAGAGGGTAAAGGAAGATAAATATACTCTGAAAGCCCAGCCAATGCCTTGTCTTTTGTGGATTAGGACAGAAGTGAGGAGTTCGATTTGGGAAGATTATGCATGATTTGGCTCTTCATCAAGAGCCTTTGGTTTCAGAGAATTAAAGTACTGGAAAATAAAACTTAGTGCAGTGTTATCTTCATTTTATTGATAAGGAAAGTGAAGATCAGAGAAATTAATGACTTGGATTAAGAATTCAAAAAGGGAGAGGCAGGCAAATGGGTGGTTTAGGAGGTTAAGCATCCGACTCTTGACTTCAGCTCAGGTCATAATCTCATGGTCATTAGATCTAGTCCCTCCCTGGGCTCCATGCTGGGCATGGAGTCTGCTGTCTGTCTCTCTCTCCCTTTGCCCTTCCCCATCGTTCGCTCTCTTGCTCTCCCTCTCAAAAAAAAAAAAAAAAAAAAAGAAAAGAAAAAAAAAGAAAAAGAAAAAAGAAAGAAAGAAAAGAAAAAAGTAATCAAATAGGGAAAGTAGGGATAAGAGACCCAGTCAAAAGATTTGTGCCATCTTGTTCCAAAAACAAACTTCCCTAATTTGGGGAGGTTGGGCAAGTATAAGTATAGTAAGTCCTCATCTCTCATAGCACAGGCCACTAAATGTCTAAAATGTGTAGCCCACGACTTAGCAGTATAATGATTTCACTGGTTGATGTGGAAAGAAATAATAAGATAAATTAATAGAATTAAGCGATCTCTTCTAAACAGTAAGATCATGGGGAGATAGTTTTGTTTTAATTATTTAAATATAAAAAAATGAATAAAAAATAAAACAATTATAATACATTAGAAGGGAATGGTGCCTTTTATTAGCTTCAACACTTACCAAGATGACTTTGGAAAAATTACTTAAGCTTTCCAAAACTCCTTTAAAAACAAAAAATCTGCATAACAGATCGCATGTTATATTTCTCTGTCTCTATTGTCTCTATATACTTTTAATTCTCCCTATCAAATAGATAGATCCTTACTGAATATATATATACATACATACACAGAGGACATAAACAATTTCTGTTGGCATTATAAAACACTTAGGATATAATCAAGGCTTGACTAATATAATTGCATTTATTAGGTTACATGGTGCAAAATGGAAGATAGTTAATAATCAAGATAAAGACCCACATCTATTGTACAAGGCAGAATCAAAAGGCATCTTGACTACTGACTTCAAAAGGCACTGCAGTGGAAGGATGATGCATTGTTGTATCTTAGCTATCCATGGGGATTGTGACCTATATAGTTCTAATTACTCTGAAGAACAAAACAGACATGCATTTCATTGAATTTTTACCATAAGGACTTGTGATGAAGGCCATGCCCTAAGCATATGGGTTAATGTGGAGAAAATGGCATCAATATATAACTCTTCTGGATTCATAGCTCAAGATTAAAATATCAGTGGACTGACCCTGGAAAGAAAGCATAGATGGAGAAAGAATATCAATTCCTGGCAGAATCTCTATAGGAGGCCTAAAGGGTAATAGCTTGACCTTCAGTGACATGCAGAGTTTTATATTCACTTCAGTTAAAAACGACACCTTGTACATTTACAAGTTAAAGACTTCATCATACTAACGGTCCTAAGGGAAGCCATGGAATTACTAAAACCTTTTCTTTTTTCAGAGTAATGGCTAAAAGAGATCCTTTATTAAGATATGCACCTGACGTTTTTAAATGTCCAACATTGCCTTTGCCATATACTGGTATCCTATACATGATTAACTGAAGAATACGCAACCTGAACAAGTGCACTAAACTTACTGCTGGCCCCATGTTTCCCCTCTCCATTTCTGGTTTGCACACTTATAACCCATCTTCAACTAAGTGGAAGACCCATCCATTTTAAATGAACACTGACTCCATCTCTCAACTGCTTCAATCCTGGAGCTGGATTCATGCAGCTCACAGTATAAATTCAACGTTCTTAACAAGTTATAAGAGCTCTGCCATGATCTGGCTCTTCTCCAACCATCCAGACTAATGTTTTGTAACCACTTTTAATGTGCCAAGCACTAGGTTAAGCCCTTTATGTGACTTATAACTTTAAAATATAACATACTCTTATGTGAGAGATACTGTTATTATGCACATTTTATAGATGAGAATTGGGGTTCGGAGAGGATAGTTTTATCAGAGTTATGGCTGGTAAATAGTAAAGCAGGAGTTTAAGATCTGCATCTTTATCCTAGCCGCTCTTACTTCACTAGCATGGTTTTGCAACTCCAATCTGCAGTATTATATTCTCTCCATTTAGTAGCTTCTTCATTTGTACTGGGAGCACAAGTGCATTGTCTTCTAAATAGAGCTTTAGTAACTGAGTATTTTTATTCCAGGACAAAGCAACTAAATCACTCCTATTTTTGTAGACAATTTTAAGAGAGAAAGAAAATAGAAAATTAGAAATAGAGATATGAGGCTAAATGAAGACAGAGCAGGAGAAGAGTTTTTCAAAGAAGTCTTAAGAATGATAAAAAAAGCAGTGGAAAATCAAACCTGGAGTTTTGAACACCTGAATTTCCTAGGCTAGAGAGAACTGAGGTGGAAGAAAGAAAAGACCCTGAAATTTTTCTAGCAAGTGATAAGTGTCAATTATCCATTTATTATTATTACACAAAGACTTAAACATGTTGTTGCTCTAGTCCTCACTTGGTATGTTGTTCTTTTTCCTTTACTTCAACAAACACAGATCAATTATTAATAAGGGCCTCTGTTTATTCATATACCACTATGGTCTCCCTTGATTCTAGTTTTGCCGAGCTGCAAATCCTCCAACTGTGGAGGTTTTAAGGAACCTAATTTTTAGGATCTGAGTGGGTGAGTGTGCTGTATTTGTTGCTTCCTAAAGATTTCTTTAATAATACTAGCTATTTACCCTACTGCCTCACTTTGGGGATACACTTTTCTTAGCTCTTCTCTTCTTTAACTTACTTATCCTGCAGGCTAACTTAAGAGTGATCATACCTTCTCTCCTGTGACCCCACACATTCTGGACCAGGTTTTTCCTTCTCTGAGCTCCTATGGCACCTGTACTTGCATCAAAGATGGCATTCACACACTGGGCAGAAATTGTCCACGTGGGAAATTGTTCTCCCCCCCCCCCCCCCCAGTGATAGTCAATGTGACATAATAAGTGAGAATGTTGGTTCTTGGACATAATAAGTGAGAATGTTGGTCCTGGAACCAGTCCAGCTGAGTTCAAATCCTGGCTTTACCTTTTACTCTCTGAGACACCTTGTACAAATTATCAACTTCCCTGTGCCTCAGTGTCCTCATCTATACATGGGAATCATCAAAGTATCTACTTTATAGATTGGTTATGTCAACTTATGTAAAGTGGTTTGAAAGAAATCTGACAGAAAGAGACTTCTTGGTGTCAAATGAGTCAACCCAATTTGACTGCCTCTATGACAGGAGACTCTGGTTAGCTAGCATGACTTCATTCCTTCAGATCTTATTTTCTCCAATGATAAAGTTGAGGGTCTATACATTTTTAAAGAGTGGAGAATACTTCTGTTCAAGCAATAAATGAATAAATGAATACTGCACAGTATTTTATCTGGATCTCTTACAGCACATACTACTTTCCCCTGCTAATACAGTTTTTTGCTATTCCTGTTTTATAACCTTGTTGAGCAATGTGGGCCCATATTTTCATTTGTATCTCACTTTTATTCATGGCTAATGTGTTGCCTGATGCATAGCAGAAATTCAAGTTATTTGCTAGATGAAAATGTATAAACAAATCTGCAAGGTATCAAAAAAAACTACTAAGTCTGATACTATATAGGGTTAATTTGAATTGTTCTTTAAATTGGATGCTATGACCACGAACTGCTGTTAATATCCTTGGAAGTAAGAAACCTTATGATAATAAAATATAACTTCATAAATTTCTGTTACAATTGCAGACACTATAAAAATCAAAATATATTTCCACCCTCTAAAATCTTAATTTAACAGAACAGTTAAGCACTCAGTGAGTATTTATAGACTTCATTGCCTTATGGTAGGGATTTGGTGGTAAATATTCAAGATTAGACATTTGCTCTCACGGAACTTACAAGTGTTTGATGTCATTCTTCTTTTTTAAGCACATTTTAAATATATTTTATGATCCATCCAATGAGCTTATTCTAATAGCAAATGGTATATTCTGCTTGCCGGTACACAATATATTTCATGAAATATATCCCACAGAGAAGAGCTTACTTTTTCTTTTCTTTTTTTTCTCTCTTTTTTTTTTCAGTGCACAAAATACCAGAAACCTTATATTTAATCAGATATTTGAAAAAAAAATGTACAGACATGCTTGGGCATAAAATTAAAATAATTAAAATTAAACCTACTAAAACTTCTAATGAGATCTAGTATTTTCTTACTCCATTTAGCAAATCAGAGAACTCATTGCTTGAAATAAAAGTTTATTCCCCTTTTAATAATAATGGCTATTTATTTATGTAAGTCAGCTCTTAAACCTGTAAAGCTCTTAAAGACTCCCTGGACTCGGCCAGAGAACTCTAAGTACCTATTTGAAGCTCTTTTTCTCTTCAAACTGTGCTTTCTTTTATTTTAGGTCCTCTCTTTCCTCACTTGCCACTCCATAAATGGCTTTGAAAAATGAAGGGACAAAGTGGCAATGGAATTTCACAGCCAAGCCTCCAATCTCCACAATGTCTTTGCAAATGCTACTCTATCAGCCTGCAAATCATCTCCTCCTCCACCTTGGTTTGCTGTCTGGAAAATCTGACTCCTTTCTAAGGTGCTGTTCCATAGGCCCATTCTGTAGAAATGTGTCTGACATTTCCATATCAAAATCAAGTTAGTTCCTCTATATCATCTAACATCATGATAACGTTACAGATATTAAACAATGCTTCCCATATACTATGTCATTTCATCTGCACAGTAGTCCTATGAATATGCACTATTACAATCACTATTCAATGGCTTAATAAATGGTGGCTAAGAAATGTGAGTTACTTGCTTAAGTTCTCTGTGTAGAGAAACTGAGATTCAGTTGAGGTCTTCATGATTCCCACCCTGAGTTCAGAGCCACCAACCTATATAAAATGTTACTAAATACACTAACCCAAAGTTCTTTTATTATCTATATCATACTCATTCTGCAAGTAGGCAATGAAGTCCTTGAGGAAATGAAACTATTATTATATTTGTAGTACCTTGAACCTAATAGAGGTTTAATAAATATTTGATGGATAAACTGATGAGTTGGTAGATGAAGAAAAATAGATGAAAGTAAGAAGAGGGAGACTCGAGAAAAGAAAATGACTGAATGAACAGAATAAATGGAAAGATGCAATCCTACAAATTGGTCTGTGGTCTGACATGGAGAGTTCTTGGTTCTACTTCCTCATTCTTTGACCTAGCTTGTTCTGCCTATAAAACCATGCATAAATGCTAATGTGTCTTAATTGTTTTTCCTCTACTATTGTTAATATATACAAATTAAAATTTTCACCTCTGGGAGTGCTTACAGAAAGTATTACTGACAGGGGTATCTGGGTGGCTCAGGCAGTTTAACGTCTAACTCTTGACTTCTGCTCAGGTCATGATCTCACATTTCGTGAGTTCAAGCCCCACTGTCAGCACAGAGCCTGATTGGGATTCTCTCTCTCTCTCTCTCTCTCTCTCTCTTTTTCTGTCTCTCTCTCTCTGTCTCTGTCTCTCAAAATAAACAAATAAAAAATACACTTGAAGAAAGTATTGCTTACATTTTAGTACTGACTTAATTTCTCATACATTCTTCCAGATGATGTATATAGCATTTCATGAGAAATATTTCTCAAAAAAGCTGGTTTGTTTACCTTATAGTAAATAGTTGACTAGTACATGATTGTTATATGAATAAATGAATCAATCAAAAATGAATAAATGAAAGAATCAGTCAATAATCAGTTAATCACCTAAGCAATGCTTGAGTGTAGAAACTATAGATTACTTTACTAATTCATGTCTATTTCACACGACAGTGCAGCTAAGAGACCTAAGTAACATTTGTTACCCAAAAAGGAGTCTATGACAGATACTATGGTATGCCCTTATGCATATTAAGTAATATAACCCTCATAATAGCCACTCAAGATATGTGTTTTCATTCCCATCTCACACATTTGTAAACAAAGGCTCAGAGAAGTTAAGTTTGATAATGTAGGAAGCCAATAATCTATGAAGTGGCAGAGCTCAGATTCAAATCGTGTCATTTTGATTCCTCATTGCATGTTCTCTTCTTTGTACATGGAATGTAGAATGACCCTGGAAGTTATATAAATCTGATTTACAGTGTTTAAACCAATAATGACTACTTTTCTAAAGACATTGAGTTTTACTGGTCAGATAAGTTACTGCAATTATCAATTCTCATCCTGGAAAAAAATGGTTAAATCTATGA